ACATAGATCCAAGGTATTTAGGGTTGCATGTACACTTAGGAGTGTTAGAATGCTCATAACCCAACAGTCCTGACCTCCCCTGTCTGACACTGCAAAGCCGGAATCCTCTCTGTTGGGTCTCCTGCCCTACTTTCTCATCCATTAGTGATCCTCAAAGTAACCGGAGCAGGCGCACTCACTGCTCCTCTCCTCAACATCGGACAATCGGCCTTTTTGTGGCCCACCTGATCACAGAGAAAACATAACGGGCTTGTCCCTTGAGGACAATCCCTGCTGACGTGACCAACCCTGCCACACTTGTAGCAGCCTAAACCCCTGGAACGACAAACTCCATCGTGCAGTTTCCCGCATGTGCTACACTGAATCCGACCCTGCTGTCCTCTCAAAAGGTGATCTTCCCAGGACCCTCCGATATCTGCACCTGATCTGACCCCCTCTTCCCAATGTGCTCCAAATCAATCTCCCGCTCTTGGGCTCTAGAAATCATATCATTCAAGGTCTCGCACCCCGAGATACTCACAAACTCCCTGATATCATCCTGCAGCATATCATAATACCTCACTTTCTTCATTTACTCATTTGTTGCATACTGCGGTACCAATAAAGCCCTCTCTCGGAACTTGGCAGTGATCTCTGCCATAGTCTCAGTAGTCTGGCGGAGATCCAGAAACTCTCGCGCCAACTGTTGTACCTCAATCGCTGGTGCAAACTCAACTCAGAACCTGATCTAGAAGTCATCCCAAGACATAGCATCCACAACATCATCACCCAACTCACTACCGAATTCTTCCCACCAATCTCGTGCTCTGTCCTTCAGTAGGTAGGAAACATATCCGACCTTCGCCTCCTCGGGGCAGAAACTCGCCCTGAACGCGTTAGCCACATCCGCTAACCACCTCCTACTGACAGTGGGGTCCCTCTCCCATGGAACGCAGGAGCTCCACAAGCACGGAACTCCCGAAAAGAAGGAGTGCGAGCTCTAACAATAGCCATAATCTCAGCACGAAACGCGCCCAATAGCTCATCCAATAACTCCGAAACACAGCGAGAAACCTCCGATGAGATAAACTCCCGCAACTAATCATTAATCGGCTCTGTGCCTGCACCTGAGTCGGAACCCGAACCAGAACCAGAATCAGAACCACCTCCATGAGAGCTCATCTCCAAACTGAAATACCACAAGCCAACGATCAGAACATGCTTGAAAATTCCTTCCCACAAGCTCCTTAGATTCTCCAAGGCTCTCGCTGATTCGAGTATGGATCCCGTGCTTTCAGTAGTACGGGCCCAATACTACCTTCCACACCTATCCATACTTTACTCAACAATCCTCCCGAATCCTCTAAGTCACTCTCCCAAACCAAAGCACAAAACTCACTAAACCGCATCACTAACCCACTGAAGCATATCCTAGGCTCTCCTAGGTTCCCAGCCTCACCCAGCCCTCAGCTGCTGAAGGACTTCCACCAATGTCAACTAACTTCCTCATGAATATAGTCACATGCAACAAAGATCAGATAATCCTTCGAGTAAAAGACTCAACCCTAGAACGGTTGGACTCAGACAAGAGCTGCGCAACAGGGTCAAATCCATCACTCTAAGATTAGTTAACATGTGCCACATGTGACTTAACATATTCACTTAGCAGTCAGTTCACACCACCAAAAGTCACACAAAGCATAAAGCAAGCAACATTCAGGCAACGGAAAATCTAACCAACATACTCTAATCAAGCCATTCTATCCACTTATCATACATACATACTAGCATGCAATACTAAAGCTCATACAATCAGGCATATAAAAGCATCTCTCATATCATATAATACTTAGCAGATCCTTAGTTCTAATCTAGCATGCGATTCACATAGTCATATCATATCACAACCAAATGGCCAATGGCCTAGCGGTATGGAGTGACCATCTCATATGAGAGGTCAGGGGTTCAAGTCTCGGTGGAGACATAGGTGGTTATTTAGGAGTAGATTAGTTAGTTTGCCGTTACAAAAAAAAAATCATATCACATAATAAACATGTATTGGTACTTTGGGAACCACTTACTTGAGCTCGGCCGATTGCACGCATCACACCCATTTCTTTGATTAAAATTCTTTTTTAATTAAATGTTTATTTTATATAAATTTTCACCAAACCCTCAGTTTGAGTTCAGGCACACCCGAGAGTATGCCCGAATCCCTCAAACCAAGGCTCTGATACCAATTATTTGCTTCACGGTAAAATTATCTACATTTAAAATTCAAAATTTATACAAATATAAGAATACCAACATTTCAAGTGATAAGAAATGCAAAATTTTCCGCTCATCTGTAACTATCTAATAAATAAATAACTTTACAAATTTTTAGTCTTTACTACTTTATATTTAATATTTCTTTTTGTCGATCCATATAATACATAAATATCTAAGCTAGTATATTTATAAATTACTTGGGTTTAAAAGATTCAATTAAAGTTTAGAAGAAGCTTGGGCTTGACTTAATGTGATCTAATTGAAATTATATTACAAAACTTAATAAACATCAATTTGAACCATCTTCATTTATTTATACTAGTTATTATTATGTTTTGTCTTTCTATCTATATCAATATTGTAATCATCAAAATTAGTGGTTGTTTTTTTTCTTCAGAAAAATCACTTCTGAGCAATTTTTGCTGTGCCGCATAGCACACGCAAACACTTGATCTTTCGTAACTATTTGTTTTTTAGAAGACTTATGACTTAAAAACTGCCACATTTGCTGGATCAGTCTCTTCAAACCACTTCTCACTTTACTTTAAGTTATATTATTAAACGTATATTTGTTTTAATTTTTTTCAACAACATATTTATTATTTTAATAATATTATAAAAAATATTATAATCAATTTGAGTATATTTTACATAGTTTCAAATAATTTCAAAACCATTTGGTAAATTTCATATATTTTTTTTTGTGTTATGTTGTCTATAACCGCATATTAATAAATTATAAAGTTAATCAGTAAAATTACTATATTTATTGAAACTAACCAGAACAATAACCATCGTCTTCGAAATTTTAACAAAAGTGAACATATTTTTTTTTTGCTAAATTAACAAATTTTTAATTATTATTTAGCAAATATTATGTTTAATTATTTTCGTTTCGAAAAAACAAACAACACCTTAGATAATAGAAATTTACAGAAAAGTCCCAAACTTTTGAGAAAAGTTTCAAAAAAGTCCTAAATTTCTTTTCGAATAAAAAGTCCCATTATTTTGAGAAAATTACATAATCTGTCATTTGCTGTTCAAATATAAAAAATGATTTTTTCGTTAATTTGGGCAAAATGTTAAATAATCGGGAATTTTCTGTTAAAAAAAACTTTTTGGACTTTATTAAAAATTTCCCAAAATAATAGGACTTTTCTGCATTAATCCCCCTTAGATAATTAGTCAAATTCAAACACCCTTAAGTAAAAAGTTACAAGAAATTGGCTAACCGCAGACTTCAAACATTTTCGTTTTGAAAAAACAAAGAACACCTTAGATAATTAGTCAAATTCAAACACCCTTAAGTAAAAAGTTACTAGAAATTGGCTAACCGCAGATTTCAGACATTTTCGTTTCGAAAAAACAAACAACACCTTAGATAATTAGTCAAATTCAAACACCCTTAAGTAAAGAGTTACAATAAATTAACTAACCGCAGACTTCAGACATTTTTGTTTCGAAAAAACAAACAATACCTTAGTCAAATTCAGACACCCTTACGTAAACAGTTATAAGAAATTAACTAGATTTGAGACCATTATTTAGCAACAAATCACATGAGTACAATCATTATTACAATAGGGTTAACGATCTGTCCACTTTGTAATAATCTTTTTTTGAAAAAGAAAACATTATTGTCCATCATTTCTACATATTGATACCATTTATCATTTATATATAATAATAAAACCTATTTTGAGACATAAACCATGATTTCAAAACTGAAAAAGGTTTGATTTTGGTAAGAGGTTCCTCTCCTTTCAGATTCCAAAACAAAGAAATATAAATAAATAAATAAATAAATAAAAAGATGCTAGGGTTTTTGAAAATTGAATTTGGGATGAAGAAATGCCCTAAACATCACCCATGGATCAGCGTCACCCTCACTACTTCCTAACTAAAGGCTCTCAGGTTGAAGTTAGCTCCGACGAAGACGGTTTTAACGGTGCTTGGTTCGTTGCCACCGTTATTCACCCTCCTCCTTCCATTTCCACCACTAAAAAGACCAAGTCCCTGAATCATCCTACCAATAACAACTTGGTCTATGTCGAATACCATAATCTTGTATCCGAGGACGGTTCTTCCAGACGCTTGAGAGAGTACGCCAACGTTTCTTACGTCAGACCTTCACCTCATCCCGATTCTAACGCTGCTGCTCCCCATTTCCAACTCAACGATCTCGTCGACGCCTTTTACCGTGACGGCTGGTGGACCGGCGTCATCACAGCAGTCGTAGACAGCTCCAACTTCGTTGTCGCCTTCCAAAACCCTCCCGACCAAATTCAGTTTAATTCCTCTGATTTACGGGTCCATAGAAGATGGGACGGTGGCAGATGGGTCCAACCCGAGATACAGGTTTCCCGCTTTACCGTTTCTAGTTACCGTTCCTAATTCATACTACAAATAGTCTCCAGAGTACTACATGATATATATACGTTCTCTAGCTATGCTAGGGTTTTGTTTTCTCTTTAATTTCGTTTCTATTTTTTGGGGTTTTGTTTTCTTCACCAAAATGTACCTTGCTACGATGAACGAAAGCGCAAATATATGGTGCTATTTTTTATTTTTATAAATAAAAACTCTTCGACCTATGGTCACCATATCGGCTTGTCTGAGCGTTTCAAAGCTTAAAGCATGCTGAGCTGCTTCTAGTATTCCCATTTAGCCTAGGATTTATTGTCTTATCAGTTGTCCTTGTCAAAATTTTGCAAGCTCCCGGATTTTTCCATCTCATTTTATTACTGCATGCTCTTGGTACAAGGATCTTTTAACTTTTGAGTTTTATTCATTGTTTTGGTGATGTGAATTTTTTGATCAATGACTCTGATTTTGTTTTCCCCTTGAAAAACTCTCGAAAGAGAACAGCAGGGTTGATGTTCACTGTAGGCAAAAAAGTGGAAGTGTGTTTTGAGGGAGAAAATTTGCGTGATGTTTGGTTCCCTGCAACTGTTGTAGAAAACTCGGGCAACAATTCTTTTCTGGTTGAGTATCAGCAGCCAGGAATTGGTGATGAGGCAACTGTTCATAAAGTTACTGTAGATTACTTACACATCCGACCCTCACCACCTCATCTGAGGGATAAGAATTTTGTTTTGCTGGAAAAGGTGGATGCTTACTCTGATTTTGGCTGGTGGAGTGGAGTAGTTACCAAAGAACTTGCTGGTAATAGGTACAACGTGTTCTTTAAACACACAAAAAAGGAGAGAGAATTTGATTGCTCAAGAGTAAGGCCGCATATGGATTGGAAGGGCGGCAAATGGTTCACCACTTCTCAGGTATTCATATCATCATTTACATGGTTAACTGCTCTGCTTTCTTTTCAATTGCACCTGTCCCACTCTGTTTGGTGGTTGATTATGGACTATGTGAATATTTTTGTTGTCTACACTCTACACCTCTATAACGATTATGGATATAATATATACTTAAGTTATATATAAACCGTGTAGAGCTTTGGATGTCTAATCTAGGAAAAGAGCACAAGCTTTCCTGATTGAATGAGTCATCAGTGAGGTCGTTAATGAGCCAACAATTTGAGCATGGCTCAGCTTGTAATCAAATGAAGAATTTTAGAGTAAACAAGCCAACACGAAGCTATGTCAGCTAAAAGAAAACATGGAATGAGCTAAAAGAAGGGCCAAACTTACCCAATAGCAACCAACTTGCATTTTTCTACAACTGGAAACACCAAAATGAGAAACCCACATTTAGAATTGTTGCAGAAAATAAAAAACGACACAATTACTTAACAACTGATAAAGCCACCATTACCAAATCCATTTGCTATAAGTCAATCTATGATTGGCCTCCATAGACTATTGTTTAAAATGCTTTTTTTTTTCCTTAATCGAAAAAAAATCTTGTCGTATGTTGTCTTTTCATTCATCTTCTTCTATCAAAGCCTTCATAAAGAATTTTTTGTTTTGTTTTTTTTGCCTAAAATAAATCTTGAGAACAATTCCTTCCGAATACATGGGTAAAAGATGCAATAAAAGGAATGCTAGCTTCACCACATGCAACAATATTATGAATGAGTGTGATTCAATGGCACCTGAAGCTAGTAAGCTACTTGCCTCTATTCCATCTTGGGTTGTATATGGAAAGGGAACTTGTATATTCTAGTTGTTCGCCATATTTCCTAACTTGCATATTGTACAATTGAACTTCATGAAATGATGAAGTTTTCATGCATTTTTTGTTTCTGAAATTTTCAACAAACGAGTGGAGAGGTAAGATTGAAACCTACGTACGATAACTTTAGTTGATGAACCACATATCCGATCTCATTACTCAATCTTCCATTTGGTTCCAATCTGTCAATCTAAGAATTGAATGAACCAAGTTGCACAACTCATGGGTGATGGAGAAAAACTAGCAAGAAACTTCCTACCTTTGACATCTTCCTGGTAGTTCAAATTCTTCAATTTCTACATAGTAATTTCAACATGAAAAGTTACATGGAGCTTAAACATAGGCAAGTCAAGAAGTTGACTGAACGAACCATATTTCTATAAGGAGCGAGTGAGCGACCAATGAGGACACATGATCACTTCAATTTCTTGAGTGCCATGTTTTGAAACTATTACTAGTTAATTACATGCTGACCTAAGCTATTAGCTCGCACTTGTTCTTTGGACCAACCTAAAGACAAGAAAGAATTTGTTGGCAGAAGAGCATGCTCATGGACAAGAGCATGCTGTTCAAACAATCAAATTGTGAGATTTGTATTGGTCAATCAAGTAGATAAAGGCTGCGAAGTCTTAGATTCTTCCTACCAAAAATAATGCTCTACCTGTGAGCATGTATGGAATAGTCTTAGATTCTTCTTGGTTCATCAATGAAAGGCATGCCCTTTTCATGTTGGGCCTTTCTTGCATTCCTCACAATTCTCTCATTCGTCAATTGATAATTTGACATGCATCCGCTGAAAAAAGCTTTATTCTTGGTTGATTCTTCAAAGAACTTTTTTTTTGCTTTTCCCCTCTGCATACGCATACTCATCTTTTGGATGGTGAACCACGAGCCTAGTCATTTAAGAAAGTAACAATACGAATAGCATCAATATTAATAGCAACAATATTGTTTGAATATGCTCCCCCTTCTTCTTCCCAGCATATGTAGCAACAGTTATCATAGAAGAGAAGACAACTTTCTGTTCCTTATTATTATTATTTTTTTTATCAGAAATAACTAGCCACTTCACTACCAATACAGTCACAGTCAAGATAGGAAGTACATGTGCTCAGGTTTGACAGTTTCCCTTTCACCTGCCCTCCCTGTGTCTAGCTGGAGTCCGACATTGATTTCTGATTTTAATGTCAGCTCTAGGTTGTCTATAATATATTGCCAGAAGCTGTATATGGTTTTCAGCTGGAAACTGGCTTCATAAGATCCTTGGTTATGTCTTGTTTGCTTGTCCTGATATTGTAATTTCATTCCTTTTTTTTTTTTTTTTTCACAGTTGTCAGTAGCGACCATGGCGAAAGCTATCACGAATAGCATGGCTATGCGCCAAAGTGGTGCTATTGAGTGTTTGGTGACAGAAAGTAAGGCAAATAGCGACATTAGGTTTTTTTTTAGGGAAAATCGGAATAAAAGAAATTAGGGCTGAAGTGCTGAACGCAATTAGCTAGTTTAATGGTTTGTTCCTTATTTATTGACTATATGTGTATAATAGCTCTAATAGTTGAACATGATAAATATCTTTTATTGGTGCACTGACAAAGCTGTGCATTGAACTTGGATCTGCTTCATGACCTCTAAGTTGTAGGTTTTCTTATGCACACACTGTTTGTAAATTGTAGTTATGTGAATAGTACTGAGATTGTTGTTCTACATACATGGTGGATGTAATTCTGTGAAGGGTGAGACAGATGGGAGAACAACTAGTCATTCCAAGCAGATTGAGCAAACAACCCCTAAACAATCTATCGTTGCAACATCAATAGCAAAGAGAACAAAGCATACCGATCTTGACAGCAATGATAAGAATTCACTGCCTTCCAGAAGACTGGAAAATGAAATTAGGTCTGATTATCCAAGTTTATCAAGTAAAAACACAAATGGCTCGCCCGTTGGTCAATCTGAGGGCTTGGATACTGAAGTAAGTATAATAAATGACCAAGCCTTTAGTAAAACTGAGAATCTTTCTCATGGAAAGAAAGTGGTGAGTTGAATATCTTATCATCTTCTATGCATTTAGTGTGGTTGACTATCTGAATGAATTTCTTATCTAGACAATCATTGAGGTATGATACAAATCAGAATGATATGCCTGATGTTTTTCTTCGGCTCAGTCGGAAAAAAATTTGAAAAAATAGATAGCATCGTATTACCTTGAAAATTTTGGATTTTTTAGTCTGTGAGGTGTGACTTGGTAGTCCAAGTGATTCGTTTAAAGATTCTTTTTTGGGCCAAAAAGTCTAGATAGTAAATTAGTCATATAGATTTCAATATTCGAAAGGTCGAGAGCATACAAGGAATGGGTTTATAAGATAATTGGTTGCGAGCTTACAATATACGATTAGCAGCTCTTGATGAGCATTTTTGGTTATGCAACTGATGTGAAGTTCCACCAGCCAAACTAATCAATAATTTTCCTTCATCCAATGTTGAAAACCAAGCTTGACTTTTGACTTGTTGCAGCGTAGTAAACGAGGAAAAGGTGTTGAACTGAAAACTCCAACGATGGATTCTTCAAGAAAGAAGGGGAGATTGGAAACCGAGCTTATAGCAGAAGGTGTGTGATTAGTTGAACCTTAGCTGCCTTTGTCTTTTTGTTTGTTGTTTTAGAATCTTGTATAAGAGGTGAAGGAGTAAACAAAGATTTTTCAGGAGCTAAAGATGATCCGGTTCCAGTGAAAACAAGAAGCCAAGAAAATGTGGAAAAAGATGTTACTAAAGACTTAACCGAATGTAATGGTAATGGGATGACAGTATCAGAAGAGAAGAAACCTGAGCTGTTGAATGTTGCAGAAGGTGAGAGAAAAGAAGCATCTCCATGTGTTGGGTTGGCACCATTGACAGTGGTTGATAAGGTGAGACTTATTTTATACTTGGATGTTGAATGAAAGTGATGTATAAATTAAATGGCATTTGTGCAGAAGAAAAGTGTATCATCTAGTGTAACGGTAAGTATTTGATGGTTTGGAGGTTTGAAAAGCATTTTGTAGGTCATGTGTATGGTACTTGTTAAATAGTAGTTTAATCTTTAATATATGTATGTATGTGAATCAGGAGGGGAAGGAAGGGGAAGCTGAAACTGTTGCTCCGACTCCGACTCCAACTCCAACTCCAACTCCAAAAAGGAAGAGGGGCAGACCACCTAAGTTACAAGCCACAAGTCTTGAGACTCCAGTTGCAGCAGGTATCAGTTGACACTTGACAGTTGGTTGATGATGAACATGAAGGCATATTAATATTTTATAGTTGCAGTGGCAGTTAATGATGAGATTGAGAAAGAAGGTGTTGGTCCGACTGAGATGGAAAGTGGTCAGAGGTCTGCAAGTTCAGTAACCAAACCATTGGAGAAGCTTCCTGCAGAAGACAATAATGATGTCCAAAACCCGGAAAACACATCAAGTAACAACAAGCAGCAGCAGCTGGCAAATGAAAATGTTCAAGTACCACCACAGCCACAACCGCAGCCACAACTGCAGCCGCAGGAGGGGAAAAAGTATTCATCGATGAAAGGGAAACGAGGAAAGCGACGGACAATCAGTATAAACTCTGAGTCTCCTCCAACTGAAGGTGTGCAAATTGCTTATAATTTTGTCTGTATGTGTGTTGATTTGTGTGTGTGTATATATATATTTTATTTTTGGGTGGGGTGCAGATTGTAGAGAAAAAAAAGCCGATAAGGTGAAGGATGATATTTTAAATTCCCCAACCCCAACAAGAAATGTTGAAGCTGCCTCTCTTGGGAAATCGGTGTCTGACGATCAACCTCTTTCGAGGTGGTTAGTGCAGTCTCCAAGTGTTGATGGTCATGGGACAGGTCGTAATTTCTTGTTTTGTCTACATACATATTGGAGGATTGTTTGGTTGATGATGATAGTCTAATACTAATACTAATATGTGATATATTGATGTTCATATCAGAGGGAACTGGAAGCGTGGAGCAACCAAGAGAAAGGGATATGGAGTCGGAAATGATGATAGTGACGTCCCCTGCTGCTGCTGCTTCAGGTTTAGGTTTTTGTGATAGTTTGCCGTTTATGATAAGCAGTCCTACACTGTGGAAGACAATAGAATCGATGGACGCGTTGCGTAAGATTCCACAGAAACCACATTTCCGTCCATTAGAAGGCATGAAGGAGAGCGGGCGGGAAGGACTGGCCATCGGGAGCATGGTGACCTTTTCGACGGTGGTGGACAGGACTTGTGCACTGCGGTTTGAGGACCCGAGAAGCGCGATAGAGGAGTGCTTGGAAACGCTGGCGGAACTGGAACCTCATGGGTTTCAGGTGGAGCTCATCAGAGACCGCTTGACACAGCTGCTTCTCATAAAGGACAAGCAGGAGGACCTCCAACAACAATTATTATCCAAACAAAATTTGGAGGAGGCACACATGGAACAAAACAGACTGGATGCAGAGATTGATGAAATCGACACCGAGATAACACAGCTGGAGGAGAGACGCAGGCAGCTGCTGTCCACCAAGGAAAAACACGACTCCCACATGGCTCTTACCAAGGCCGCAGGGGACCGACTTCACCAACAGCTCGGGGTAGTTGGAACCGAATTTCATCTCCTGGCGGCTGCCCCTTTCTTCTGATTCCAATGTCATTGTCATTGTCAATGTTGTATCTCCCTTTCCCTCTCCTCTTCTTTTACAATACCATATCATCCTCAAACCCTTAGTCACAGTGTTGCTTACTTTTGAACTAAATTTCAAGTTTTTCAGTTTATGATTGTTGCACTTGCAGATTAATATTTTCAAAAACCAGACAATTTGACTCAGGTCGGTTCTGGTCTGGTCTTCACCACTTGCATCAGATAACAAACACTCTTTCTTTTGACAATTGACTATTGACTTAAGACTGTGGACAATGGGAACTTATTATAACTAGTCACAAAAATATTATAAATACCAAGGAACTCATTACATTAATGATTTTTTTCGTATATCGGGGATAATGTATTCTTGATAGATGAGATGGCCAATAATGAGGTTTTTCACCACATTCGTTCTTGATCTAGAATCTTGATGGTTTGGTTGTGTTGGCAATGATGATTTTTTCGTGAATCAGTATATTTCTTACCCCTCTTCATTTAATGTTGATGAGTTGTTTTGTTTTATAGTCGTTTATTATTATTATTATTATTATTATTATTATTATTATTATAAAAAATTGACTAACTATTTTTTCAAACTTTTTACCATAAACTAGGTAAAAATAAAAAAAATGAGTCAAATAGCCACCATTTTAACATTACTAGCTGCGAAAATGTTGGCTGCCTATAATTTTTTTTTCTAGATTTTTATAAGTCACCTTTGTGATGTGAAAATGTTGGCGGCTTATAATTTTTTTTTTCAGAGATTTAAGATCAAACAAATCTAAAAATCCAGAAGAAGTGAAAGTGGATCTTGGTGTTTGTAATACAACCATTAAGATTCTTCTTTCACTTGTTGATTTTTAGATTTGTTTGATCCAAATTTATTCTCCACTTTCGATTTATTTGTTCTTGATTTGGGTCCTATTTGCTTATCGAGGTGGGGTTTTTTTGCAAGCGAAGAAGGGTTGCATCTGACAAGAGAATTGGAAGTGTGGAAAGAAGAGATACATACGGGTGGGGAGAGTGTGGTAGGTGATGAGTTAATGGGTAACAGACTAATAGGTGGGGAGGGTGGGTGTGGTAGGTGATGGGTTAAGGGGTAATAGACTAATAGGTGGGGATATGGACGAAAAACTTAACAAAAAGACACTATAAAGAGAGTTCGTGTCTAAACTTAAAAACAAGAAAAACATATAACCATATGGACCATTCTTGTAATTTAATCTAAAAAAATTATTACATAGTCATAATAAATAGTTTGTGTCCTCATTTAAATCTGCCTTGGTTTAGCATTTATACCCCACTCGCACGACTTAATAAGAAAGAGCCTGTTCAAAGTCTAAAATCAAAAACAATAAGTTGATTTATACTTAGTTGCTGTTATCTTTCTGAAATTGTAATTATTTATTATTCTTGTGGTTGTTTCGTTGTGGAACGAATGACATCTCCAGAGACCAGAAAAAACATGTTGCATACATGTCTTTCTCGCACTATA